TTTTTAGTTTTTTAAAATAGTGTAGTAGATGGTTTGATATTCACGTGCAACACACGTGCATTGAAACTATTATATATATATATATATATATATATATATATATATATATTTTCACTAGAAGTGCAAGCCAGTGATTTATTAGTTATAATTAATGGCGGTTAAACAATTGCCGCTCATGATTTTTTGCATCAATTTAATTTAATTTATCGGCCATTAAAACAAACGCTAAAGGTTGACACTAAGAAGTTTTCATAAGGGATGTCGACTATTAGCGAGAATTTAATTGAATTTACTTGTCATTAAAATGAACGCGAAAAGGACAAATAAATACATTTTCAGAACAAATATTGTTGCCATTGATTGCCACAAAAAATTATCATTACATTACAGAATTTTAGCGGCAATTTATTTGAATATTTCAATTATAAAAATGTACGCTAAAAGACCATACATAGCCAATATGAATTTGATTTAGCAGCCAAAATTATTGTTGCAAACAATTGTTGTTAAAACTAATAGTTTTTGGCGGCAATTGATAATGCTCTTAGTGGTTGTTAATGCCTTTGCCGACGCCATCATTGCCGACTAAATACCATTGGCCGGTATAGGTAATAACAACCACTGCTGTTCATGGTTCGGTTTTGATCAGTTATTGATTAAAACCAAAACCAAACCAGTTTAGTCGATTTTTAAATTTCCCAAATCAAACGAAAAAAATAATTGTCAGTTTGGTTATTGTCGATTTTGGTTTGGTTTGGTTCAGTTTTGCTGGTTTATTCGGTTTGGAAGTAATATTTTTTTGAGGAAGTATGTATCCCGATAGACACAAACACCAAGTACATGAACAATCCATTGAAAAGCTAATGTCGGTTCAATTAAGCAATTAAGCAGTACTAGAGTTATCATTACACAAACAAAGTGATTCAATTAAGAGAAAGTGTGACTATTTTATGTGAACTACGGTAGGTAAAGACTAAAATATATTTTGATGGACTTGGACTTAGGTTTGTTATAGTTGGGCTAAAATGTTGGGCTTGAGAAAAATGTAAAGTTAAAGACTTAAGTTAATTAAAATTTAACAAAATATTTTTAATTTATTTATTAATAATATATAAATAATTATAAATTTTATATATCTAATTTATCGGTTCGGTTTGGTTATTTTTGTGGTTGTTTTTTACTAAAACCAAAACCAAACCAAATAGTATCGGTTTTTAAAATTTAAAAACCAAACCTCACCAAACCAAATCAAATATCATGTTTTTTATTCGGTTTGGTTTGGATTCCGATTTGGTTTGGTATTTTAACTATAACCATGAACAACCCTAATAACAACCATTAATATTGCCGCTAAATCTCCCTTTTGTAGTATTACTAACAAGAGACGGATGACAAAATTCCATTATACTCATCATCTCAATCTCAGGAACACAATGACGAATAATCCTATTAGTATAGACACAAAATAAATTAGGCTATTCCTAAAAAACATCTTCACATGAGACATGACTTTTCTTCTTTGGTGGGACAACCAATCTGAAGGCACAACATCACTCATATTGGCTATGTATGGTCTTTGATGAGATTTGTCACGCCCCGAGGCTATCCCCTTGATGTAACACTGGGCCTAGGATCACGAGTGACCCCAAGTTAACCCTGTGTCTGGCATATATCAAGCATACTGAGAATAACTGAATAAGACATGCTATGCGGAAGATAAAAAAATGGATAATTGAAAGTGGCTAATACCCTACTAGTCTGAATGTATAAAACAACCTAAGAGTTTAATAACAACTGAAAGATTAAACTTAACAATTCAAGTTGATCCTACTACTATGTCTGAAAAGCCTCTAACTGAGTTGAGTTGTTGGGTTATGCCCACCAGCTAACTCCAACAAACCTAAAAACATAATAAAAAGACTAAATTGAAAAGCATGTCTACTGTCCTCGAAGTATGAGGACTCACAACTGAAAATGCTGAAATGCGGACCGAGAATCAATCTAAGCGCGATGTGGATGTGGAGTACATTAACCTACATCATGAAAGGATGTAGCGCAGAGTATGCGTCAATATTTGGAATGTACTAAGAATGCAAGATACGGATACTGAGATGAACAAATATATATAAGTTGAACAAAGCATAACTGAGCAAGAATGTAAATACTGAAACATAACTGAAAAGATAAGTTGAATTCAATGACCAAGTACTAATCATGAAAATAACATGCTTAACTGAATGCTGAAGTATACACTGAAAACATGGTCAAATGCACTAAGAGTCTAACTGTGGGAGCTACTATTGACCGACATAAACCACGTGAGCTAAATGTAGAGTCCAATGTATACGCCCCATCGAGAAGACCCAATACTCTTTTCCAGGGGTATAAAGGCATGACTGGCATGATCACTAAATCTGATGCTCAATAGAGCAGACTTATACTCCTATGGGTGCATGTAGTTTTTGGACTATGAGGGTACAGTGAAACCTAGTCCAACTCGATGCTATGTCTACTCACAATTGAATAAGTATGTGACACAAATGTAACTAAAATAAGTATGTGACATAAATATAACTGAAATACTGAATAGCTCAAAATACTGACATGCAATATGAGAATCCAACATTTATATACTGATAATGTGACATTTGAAATCTGGAGCATGATTATCTGGTTAATTGACCTAGCAAGTATAATTCATGAACTAAGAGACTCTACACAAACTAGGGTTTTCAAGTTTTATACAAGGAATTAAACAACGTTTCAAAGAATACATGATATTTATACTATGGATTATATAGCAGCTAAAATCATAATAAATTCCAAAGATTTAAAAACCCTAGGTCTACAAGCAATGTTTTTCAAAGTGAAGTCGTTTTGTATTATGTTATAAAACTATATAATGCATTTTAAGTCAAAATACACCCAATTACTTCATATTTTTCAAACACCCAAATGAAAACCCCAAAGTTCATATTCTACACAAAATTTCTCTCTCTAGAACTCAAGGAAGAAGAAGAGTAAAATTGGAGCTAGGGTTTGAAGAAACAAAGATATTTCACTCAATGTCTTTGGAGAATCATAATTAAGGTATGGTAGTCCTTCATCCTTATATAATCTCTATCCAAGGAGTCCCTCCAAATTCAATTTCAAAACTGGTGATTTCCCCAAAGTTAGGGTTTGACTTCAATCTTGTTGGGTTTTTTCCAAAAAATGTTTTTAATGGTTGATTTATGATGGATTATGATTGAATTGATGATTTATTGTTGATTTATTGTTGATTTATGATGAATTCCCCCAAGAAACCATGAAATCCCTAGTTTCCCAAATTTGGATCTTATGATGTGATTTGATGATTTTAGAAGGATGACATGAGATTATGCTTGTTATAGTTGGGTTACTTGAATCATGTTATAATTCATGTCTAATGTAGTAATTCTAGATGTTTTTATGGATTGTAGCCTTGAAGGGCAAGATAAGTGAATTATGTATGATTATGAGGGTTGTGTAAATGCTTTAACAACACTTTGAGAGTAAAGTGAATATGATTATGATCTAGTTGTTGTTGTGTTGGAATGTTATTCTCATGAACACACTTATGTATAAATATGATATGATGTGAATGGTTTGTCACATGTAGTGAATCTAAGGTTGGAAGACTAGTCTCACCTAATGAATCTAGGAGCTATAGTATGATTATGTTAGATTGAGTGTCACGACATTCTTCCATAATTACGAACTTAAGTCACGACTTAATATGTAAAATGTGGAAATCAATGCTTAGCACCGAATGGATATTGATATGAGATGGGAGCCCTTCCGTTAGTTGAGGTTGGGTTTTCCTAGTAGTAATCTCTTGGGGTGGAAGCTCTTCCGTTTGTTGAGGTTGGGTTTTCTAGTAGCAATCCCCTTATCCCATAACTATGTGCCCTCAGAGGTCTTTAGCTAGTGAATCCACCTAAGCTAAGAGTATGGTTCTACCTTAGGCAAGTAGGTAAACCCCTTTTCGGTGTGGGGTAGACACCGGATTCCATGTTTAGCTCACATGGTCTATGTCGGTTAAGGCTTATTCCCTAATATGTTAATATAGACAATTACGATTTATAAACCATAGCTACTCAAGAAGCTTTACTTAGTATGGGTAGGATTATGGGATCTTATTCATGCATTGCACAAGTAGACTTTGAGGGTACTTATGATATGTTGCCATTATGATATGATGATCTATGCATGATAATATGGTTTATGACTTATGTTTTTTCCAATGTATTCATGATAAGTTCAAACTTGGCAAAGTGCATGGTTTTCAACCAAAATGTCCTTTTTAGCATGTTTTCAATGATTTCTTGCTTGGCATCATACTTAGTGCATTTTTGTACTAACCCATATTTTCTACTATTTTTCCATAAGTGTAGGGTCCGGTTCTTGCATCAATCTCCTTCTTGGTCAAAGCTTGGATCGACTAATCTCCTTGCTTTTCATGAGTCCTCATGCTTCGAGGACGGATGATGATTTTCTAGTTCCCTTTCTTGTACTTTCATTTGAGAACTATGTGGTAAGGGTTGTGACCCCATTTGGTACTTCAATTGTAATAGATGGCTAAATGAGACAAGCCTAGACTTCCGCTTTGCTTTTATAAAAAAATTTCTTAAGACTCAAATATGTGTTTTACTCCTTATTGTTCTTTGCTTATGTTATGATATGATAAGTGGCTTACATGGTTCCTTTAGGGGTCCTATGTTCCATGTTACTTCTACGGGGTACCCTTGGGTGGTGACAAACTTGGTAATCAAAGCACAAGGTTTAGAATGATTATGTGATAATGTCTCATAAGACACGTCTAGTAGGGTCTTGTTCATGAGTCTGAAGCATGCCACATTTATGAATGAGAGGCTATAAGATCTTTAGGAAATTTTACTTCTCTCATTACTCTTAAGTCGTGCGATAGAGTTTAACTCTATAAGGTCTTCCTTCTATCCCTTCTCTTATGTCTTCAGGAAATGAATACACGAAGGGCTAATGCTAGAAGGGTGGAAGAAGAGAATGTGAATCAAAGAGCTCCTCCTCAAGATAATCAAGTTCCGGTTGATCCCGTAATGGAGAATGTGACCCATGCGGAGTTTAGGTCTACTATCCAATTGTTGGCTCAAGTTGTGATAACTCAAGCCAATAGAGAGGTAATTGCTCCTAGGAACACTAATGTGAATTCCACAGCTTCTAGATTGAGGGATTTTTCTAGAATGAACCCTCCCGAGTTTCATGGTTCCAATGTGGGAGAGGACCCTCAAGAATTTGTGGAAGAGGTTTATAAGTAATTGATGCCATGGGGGTGACTTCGGTAGAGAAAGTGGAGCTAGCCTCTTATCAATTGAAGAGTGTTGCTTAAGTATGGTATACTCAATGGAAGAACAATAGGGGGTAGGAGCGGGTCCAATAGAGTGGGAAGTGTTCAATTCGGCGTTCCTTGATAGTTTCTTTCCCCGAGAGATGAGGGAATCTAATGTGGAAAAGTTCATCAACCTTCGTCAAGGAGGTACGAGTGTTCAAGAATATTCTCTAAAGTTTACTCAATTGTCCAGGTATGCTCCGACTTTGGTGGCGGCTTCAAGGGACATGATGAGTAAGTATTTGACGAGCGTGTCTAGATTGGTGAGAAAAAAATGTCATTCGGCAATGCTTCATGATAAGATGGATATCTCACGTCTTATGGTGTATGCCCAAAAAATGGAGGAAGAGAAACTCCAAGACAAGAATAGGGAGGTAAAAAGAGCTAGAACCAATGATGTGAACTTTTCCAATGTTAGGTCCGATGGACAAGGTCGGCAAAGGTTCAAACAAGTGTTTTCCAACCAAGGCAGACTAGTGCTCCAAGGGTCAACAAAGATAGGGTCTCCAACCCTAAACCTCAAGGAGGTAATAGTGGTGGTTCTTATGTTGCTAGGCCTAATTGTGCAAAATGTGGTACGAAGCATGATGGTAAATGCCTAGTTGGCACCGATGGGTGTTTTAGTTGTGGGAATATTTGTCACAGGATGAGATAATGTCCTATGCTTACGACCAAAGGAAAAGATAGCAAGAAAGCTCATCCAAGCGGTTCATAGTCCAATGCCCAAAAGCAAAACCACTTTTATGCTCATCGACCCCGAGGTGACCAAGAGAGCTCCCCAGATGTGGTGACCGGTATGTTGCAAGTCTTTTCTATTGATGTATATGCTTTGTTAGATCCCGATGCTACTTTGTCCTTTGTGACACCTTTTGTGGCTATGAAGTTTGTAATGCTCCCCGTAGTGTTAGTAGAACTTTTTTCGGTCTCTATCCCAGTTGGTGACTCGGTAGTGGCTAAGAGGGTTTATAGAAGTTGTCCCATTTCCTTGTCTCATAGAGTTACTTTGGTGGATTTAGTAGAGTTAGACATGTTAGGCTTTGATATGATTTTGGGTATGGATTGGTTGCATACATGTTATGCCACTATCAAATGTAGGACTCAGATGGTTAGGTTCCAATTTCCAAATGAGCCTAATTTAGAATGGAAGGGGGGAAACTCTATGCCTAGAGGTCAATTTGTGTCTTACCTGAAACCTAGGAAGGTTATCTCCAAAGCTTGTATTTACCATCTTGTTAGGGTGAGGGATGTTGAATCTGAAATCCCTTCATTAGAGTCGGTTCCGTTAGTGAATGAGTTCCCGAAAGTTTTCCCCGATGATTTGCCTGGTATTCCTCCTGAGCGGAAATAGATTTTCGTATTGACCTTCTTCCGGATATGCAACCTATATCCATTCCTCCTTATAGAATGGCTCCGATGGAGTTGAAATAGTAACTAAGGGATTTGTTAGACAAGGGTTTTATCCTACTGAGTATCTCTCCATAGGGTGCTCCGATTTCATTTGTTAGAAACAAAGATAGGTCTCTTATAATGTGCATTGATTGTCATCAACTGAACAAAGTAACAATCAAGAATAAACATCCCCTTATGAGAATTGATGCCTTGTTTTACCAACTTCAAGGGGTTAGGTATTTCTCCAAAATTGACCTTCGTTCGGGTTCACACTAATTAAGAGTGAGAGGGGTTGATATTCCTAAGACGGACTTAAGGACCCGGTATGGTCACTATAATTTGTGGTTATGTCCTTTGGGTTGACAAATTCCCTGGCGACATTCATGGACTTAATGAATAGAGTATTTAGGAAATACCTAGACACGCTTGTGATGGTGTTTATTGATGATATCTTGGTCTACTCAAGGAGTGAGAATGAACATGTGGACCATTTGATAATTGTTTTGCAAGTTCTTCAGGACCAACAACTTTTTTCAAAGTTTAGCAAGTGTGAATTTTGGTTAAGGTCCATAGCATTCCTTGGTCACATACTCACATTGTGTCAAGCAAGGGTATCGATGTAGATCCAAAGAAGACGGATGCGGTCAAGAGTTGTCCTACACCTCTAACTCCCTCGGATATTAGAAGCTTTTTGGGTTGGGCCGGTTACTATAGGAGGTTTGTTGAGGGGTTTTTCTCCATTGCTTCTCTGTTGATGGCTTTGACTCAAAAGAAAGCTAAGTTTGAGTGGTCGGAGGCTTGTGAGAAAATCTTCCAAGAGTTGTGATGGTTTCGTAGTATATTGTGATGCCTCTAGAGTATGGTTAGGATGTGTGCTGATGCAACATGGTAAGGTGATTGCCTATGCTTCAAGGCAACTTAAAGTCCATGACAAGAATTATCTAACCCATGATCTTGAATTAGCGGCGGTAGTATTTGCCTTGAAAATAAGGAGACCTTACTTGTATGGGGTCCAGTGGATGTTTTTACCGATCACAAGAGTCTTCAATATGTGTTTAGTCAAAAGGACTTGAATCTCCGACAAAGAAGGTGGTTAGAACTCTTGAAGGATTATGACATGAGTGTCCTTTACTACCCCGACAAAGCTAATGTGGTAGTGGATGCACTTAGTAGGTTGTCAATGAGTAGTGTGGCTCATGTAGAGGATGAAAAGAAAGAATTGGTTCGTGATGTGCATAGGTTTGCCTGGCTAGGTGTTCATCTAGTGGATTCCACCAAAGGTGGTGTCATGGTCCATAATGGTTCCAAATTGTCCTTTGTGATGGATGTTATGTCTAAGCAAGACCTTGATCCTATATTAGTTGATTTTAAAGAGTCGGTACACAAAAAGTCTGTTGAGGCTTTCTCCAAAGGGGAAAATGAAGTACTTAAGTACCAAGGTCAATTATGTGTTCCGGAAGTTGATGGTTTGACGGAGAAAATTTTAGAAGAAGCTCATGGTTCTCAATATTCTATTCATTTGAGAGCCACCAAGATGTACCGTGACCTACGTGAAGTCTATTGGTGGAATGGAATGAAGAGAGATATTGTGGGATTTGTAGCCAAATGTCTGAATTGTCCACAAGTTAAGGCTAAGCATCAAAGAATGGGAGGCTCATTACAAGATATACCAATTCCCACTTGGAAGTGGGAAGAAATCAATATGGATTTTATTGTGGGTTTGCCTCGCAATCGAAGGCAACATGATGGGCTGATGTTTTGATGTTGCATGCATGATGGGCTGCTAGTCTTGAGTCTTTACTCTGGTAGGGTGTCTAGATCGTCATTCGAGGACGAATGTCTCCAAGAGGGAGATATTGTAACAACCCAGAAAGTTCTTAGGCTAAACTAGAGCTAAACGAGAGGGTAAGAGTCAAAGAGGTGGACAAAGGCCAAGGGAGAGGACTAAGGAAGTCCACTTTCCCCTAAACACTGCCTTAGTGACCAAGACCACCACCACGGCTCGTGGTGGGGACCATGACTCATGGTGTAGTCCTTGGTAGCCTAGGCAGTTAGCTCCCCAAAATGCCATAAAATAGGCCCTCCTTCAAGAGCCATTTCACGGCTCGTGGTGATGACCACGACACATGGGAAGGCTCGTGAAGGAGAGTTAGGGGTTTGAGGGTGGCAAGAAAGTGCCCTAGCCACTGCCTCAAGGTCCACGAGAGGGACCACGTCTCATGGAGCCCCTCGTGTGATTGCCTTGGGCTTGTGGGCTAAAGACACAATGTGCAAAGCCACTATCTCAAAACCACAGATGGGACCACAGCTCGATCATGACCACGACTCATAGGGCCCCTCATGGTCCCCGGGCAGGTGACTTAAATGAGGGGGTATTTTGGGAAGTTCCTTTTTAAGCCCTATCAAAGTGGGAGAAGCCATAAAGCTGGTTCTAATGCTTGCTTTGGTTGTGGAAAGACGGATCACAAGATAAGGAATTGTCCTTCTGTTACTAAGAATGAAGGAGATGTTCATTATAGGGCTCAACCCTACCCTTCATCTGATCCAAGTGGTTCGGGTGCATGTGCTCCTAAGCAAAACCGTTTATATGTTATCCAAACTAGAGGTGATCAAGAGAGTTCCTCGGACGTGGTGACTGCTATGTTAAAATTTTTCCATATAGATGTGTATGTTGTACTTGATCCAGGGGTAAATTTATCATTTGTGACCCCTTATGTAGCTATGAGATTTGATATGCTTCCCAATGTATTGTCAGAAACTTTTTCTGTCTCTACCTTGTTAGTGATTTTGTGGTGGCTAAGAGAGTCTATAGGAGATGTCCCATTTCCTTATCCCATAGAGTCACTCTAATAGATTTGGTGGAACTTGACATGATTGACTTCGATGTTATTTTGGGCATAGATTGGTTACATTCGTTTTATGCCTCTAACGATTGTAGAACTCGGGTAGTCAAATTTCAATTCCCAAATGAGCCTGTCCTAGAGCGGAAAGGGGGGAAATTCTTTGCCTAGAGGTCAATTTGTTTCTTACCTAAAAGCTAGGAAAATGATTTTGAAGGGTTGTGTTTACCATATAGTGAGGGTGAGGGATGTGGAGTCCAAAACTCCTATTCTTGTGTCAGTCCTAGTTGTAAAAGAGTTTCCAGAAGTTTTCCCCAAGGATTTGCCCGTTATTCCTCCCGAAAGGGAAATAGACTTCGGGATTGACCTACTCCCCGATACCCAACCTATCTCTATTCCTGCTTATAGAATGTCTCAGATGGAACTTAAGGAGGTGAAGGAATAATTGAAGGATCTATTGGATTAAGATTTCATCTGACTGAGTATCTCTTCATGGGGTGCTTCAGTTTTGTTTGTTAGGAAGAAAGATGGTTTACTCCGTATGTGTATTGATTATCGACAATTGAATAAGGTGACCATCAAGAACAAGTATCCTCTTCCAAGAATAGATGACTTATTTGATCAACTCCAGGGGGTAAGTTATTTCTCAAAAATTGATCTCCGATCGGGTTATCAACAATTGAGGGTGAAGGAGGAAGATTTTTCAAAAATGGCCTTTAGAACCCGATATGGCCATTATGAGTTGTTAGTTATGTCCTTTGGTTTGACTAATGCTCCGGCGGCGTTTATGGACCTGATGAATAGGTTGTTTAGACAATACCTTAAAATGTTTGTAATTGTGTTCATAGATGATATTTTGATCTATTCAAGAAGGAAGAATTAGCACATTGATCATTTAAGGATTGTATTGAAAATTCATAAGGACCAACAACTTTATGCAAAGTTTAGTAAATGTAAATTTGGTTAGGGTTTGTAGCCTTCTTAGGTAATATTGTTTCAGGCAAGGGTATTGAGGTGGATCCGAAGAAGACGGACGCGGTCAAGAGTTGTCCTAGACCTCTATCATCGACAGACATCAGAAGATTCTTGGGTTTGGCCGGTTATTATAGAAGGTTTGTTGAGGGGTTTTCCTCCATTGCTTGTCCATTGATGACTTTGCCTCAAAAGCATGCCATGTTTATATGGTCGGATGCTTGTGAGAAAAGTTTCCAAAATTTGAACGATAGACTTAATTCTGCTCCGGTTTTGACTTTACTGGAAGGTTCAAATGGCTTTGTGGTAAATTGTGACGGTTCTAAAGTAAGATTGGGATATGATCTTATGCAAAAAGGTAAGGTGATTGCCTATGCTTCAAGGCAACTAAAAGTTCATTAGAAGAGCTAACCCATGACCTTGAATTATCGACGGTGGTATTGCCTTAAAGATTTTGAGGAATTATTTGTATGGGGTCCATGTTGATATTTTTTTCGATCACAAAAGCTTACAATATGTGTTAACCCAAAAGGACTTGAATCTTTGCCAAAAAGTGTGGCTTGAATTGTTGAAGGACTATGATATGAGGGTCCTATATCACCTTGGAAAGGCAAATGTATTAGAGGATGCTCTTAGTCGACTATCAATTGGTAGTGTTGCACATGTAAATTGTGATAGAAAATAGTTGGCCCGAGATGTCCATATGTTGGCCCAACTGGGTGTTGGATTGGTAGACTCTTAGAAGGATGGGGTTATGGTTCATAAAGGGTCAGAATTGTCATTTGTAACCGATGTTAAGGCAAAGCAATGTCTTGATCTGACTTTGGTAGAATTGAAAGAGGCGGTACTAAATAAATCTGTTAATGCCATCTCTCGAAGGGGAGATGGTGTCCTTAGATATCAAGGTCGACTATGTACTCCAAATTTTGATGACTTGAGGGAACAAATATTCACTTAAGACCATAATTCTCTGTATTCTATTCACCCGGGAGCCACCAAGATGTACCCGTGACTTCCGGGAGATCTATTGGTGCAATGGGATGAAGAAGGATATTGCGGGATTTGTGACTAAGTGTCCAAATTGCCAACAAGTGAAGGTTGAGCATCAAAAACAGGGAGGTTTATCCCAAGACATTAGCATTCCTAC